ATGATGATACATGAAGATGATACATGCTGATAATGTTACAATACTTATTTATGCCTTTTCCATATATAATCCAGGGAGCCATATTACAATAGTCGCACATTCTCGCATGGTGGATGTAAGCTTGCAAGCAGCAAAGCAGCTAGAAGCGGAAGGCATTGATGCAGAGGTTTGTCTCCTACTATAGCTTAATTCTTTTCATAAATTTCCTTTGACCAAGTGGCAAGAAATTAACTGCCTTATAAACATTACGAGCGTGAGAAAACATCATTGAAAACTATGATACTTTACCACACATCTTTTATGTCTTATACAATTTATGACTAAAACAAACAAAAACTGGGTTCGTTTGTACGAAGGGTGAATAGTGGCTATCCAACAGATAAATCATTATCTATTGGATAAGTTGATGCTGTTATTCACTATATTTATCCACTGGATAAGATTTATCCTTTGGATAACTATATGAATGGCATGGGTGCTGTACGCTAATGAGTCGTCTTTCACCACTGTGAGTCCAAGTTGGGTCGCAGGTCCGAGGGCTGCAGACACGACATGTGAATTGAGTTTGCTTGATCTGTTGTTCTCTCCCTTGCCACGAGGGTTTTTCTCCGGGTATCCCGTTTTCCTGTCTCTGTAAAAACCACATGTGAGTCGAGCGTTGCATGCATAAAATAGTAAATATAGTGGTAGTGAGTGTGCCGAGTGGAAGCAGGCCCACATCAGCGAAAGCTGCCAAAATAATCTGCCTGCTCTAACAAATAAAAGATGATGATGATGATGACGATGATGATGGTGATGATGATATTGATGATGGTGATGATGATGATTATAATAATAATWATTATTATTATTATTATCCACCCTTCGTACAACTGGCTTTCAGCTTATTCCTGCCAGTGTCGTATACTACCAACCAATTTCCTTGTTGTTTACAGGTGATAAATCTACGAAGCATTCGTCCATTGGATACCCAGTGCATCATAGATTCAGTCAAGAAAACAAACCATCTTATCACAGTAGAGGGAGGCTGGCCCCACTTTGGTGTGGGTGCTGAGATATCTGCATCAATAATCGAAAGTAAGTACACTTACATTGTTTAGACTACAATGCAAATATTTTGTCCTCCCTTCTTGTCTACCTCCTTAGCATCTGCCCCGTTGTCTGTGAAGATGAGCTGCATAGCATCAAGGATTACCTATTCAGTGATGTTACATTGAGAAGCATGGTGTCCTAAATGGTGTGTTGCAACGCCGTTTTAGAGATAAGTTTCAGAGATAATTGCACCATGTCATCGCGCCTTCAGTAGCTTAAGTGCACGCCTCTCACACTTCAGCAGTAAAAGTTGATAGTGCACTTGGAGTAAAGGTTGATGCACTTGCATCAAGTTCCTAATCAAATCACTCTCACAGTATCTTAAACGAAGATTACAGGGGGTATCTTTGTAAAATGTGGGGATTAACAGACAGTAGATTAGCATCGTATCCAGGGAACAGGTATACAGCAAGTCATAACGTACTAGAGAAACTAAAACAACGCATGATCGATGCTACTTTTCAAGCTTGACAGACTTTACTCTGTTGATTTTTCAGGTGAAGCTTTCAACTATTTAGATGCCCCAATCTACCGAGTCACTGGTGCTGACATCCCAATGCCCTACGCCACAGAACTGGAGAAGAATAGCACCCCACAGACACATAACGTAGTTAACACTGTGAAGAAGACTCTACATGTAGAATAATTATTAACCCTTTTAAGAGTTGGTGATCACCTCTACTTGCAACAAGGTATCCATGGTCTATCATGGTAACCTAAAAAGCAGGTTTAACAGGTTTATACCTGGATTAATGACAAAATTGATGTAATAAGATGAATCATAGTTTCCAAAAACAGCCTGTACGGAGGTATAATTTTGGAAAAAATCAAAACATAGCTAAAAAAATACAATATTTCTTTATTTCAGTGTTTTATTTAATGGTAGAATTTCATAATTTTTTAAGTTTTCTACTGGACAGGTTACCCTATTTTAATTTTCTTGTTAACTAAAAAACTTTTTTGGGACCTCTACCCAAACTGTAAAGAAATAATATTCAAGGGATTGATATGCGGTATGAAAAAAAAAATCCCAGGTGGACAGGTTATCGATTGCATAATTTTTGTTCGGTTACCAGTTTCCTTAGAACATGATGCATATAATATCAGAATTAATCATATTCTTATATGATTAATATTCTTAAAATATATTCGTATATACATAACATCTAAACAAATTGTTTAGTTCATAGAATGTTTCGAAGAATATTTTTAAGAAAGGTAAATCACTTGTATGGTATTACGATAAATAAACTGTTTTTCATCTAAATCTAGTGTTATGAATATAATTTTAATTTATTATTACTCGTGATTCCGATTCATAGAGCGCAAGTTTTTCGTATGAGTGTGAAACGTACGGCACTGAGTACCGTACTAAGCAAGTGCACAGTACGACATGCCGCAACACTGAAATGGTTTTCCATTGGCACGGCTACGGTAAGATAAGGTACGGCTACAGTACGCCAGGCAACGAATTTGTCGTATCGTTTCTCAACACGTGAGAAAACGATACGTGCATTGTGATTGGTCGGGAATAGTGAACGATCGAAAATGTATTAACCAGGTTTTTAGTGAGTAAATCTCGGTATGTACACAAGGGAGGGGGGGGGGGGGGGGGGGGGGGGAGGAGAGGGGGCACTTATCTTTCATTGTTTTAATATATCGCTGTACATAATATGAGTAAGCGTGAGCCCGTCAGATACCTCGCGTTGCAATGCGCGCGCTGTGCCTTAGACCTAACGGTTGCTAAGCGGCCACGCAAGAGGGGGAAATGAGCGCGCTGTGACTTAGACCTAACGGTTCCAGTTGCTTGACGTAATATGCCCCCTCTGCCTCCTGTGGTACGTATATGATAAATTGACTTAAAAGGCTGTTTATAAACTGAACTTTGTAGACGCCAAAATATATGCCGGTTTCAGTGTCAAAGACTGTAAATAAGAAAACATGATGCTTGGCGGCAGAAGTAATTGGACGGACGGACGGACGGACGGACGGATGGATGCATGCATGCATGCAGGGGCGGATCCAGGATTTTGTCCAGGGAGGGGTGCTGCGGACAATGTTAACCCAGGGAGGGGTGCACACCTTAGAATCAAAGGCAAAAAACAAAGTTGGTTATCTTCGAAGTGGAGAAGAAAGTGTAACCAAAGAAGGGTGCGCACCCCCTGCAACTATACCCTGGATCCGTCCCTGTGGAGGGATGGATGAGTTGGTACTAGTAGATGGTTGGGTGGTTAAATGATTGGGGCGGGGTGGAATGGATGAGACGGATAAGATGGACTGATCTCTGCATATCGGCTGCGTTGAACATATAAATGTCTATTCTAAAATTGAGGTGATATGCTTGTTGTTATTATTGAGGTGATAAGTTTCTTTATAGGTGAATGATCTAATTTATCATCATCTTCTTCGAACTATAACATACTATGGGCTACCTGTGGCAGTGAAGCACGTGTACCCATCATGCTTCAGGGTCTCTTTGACAAGAAGGTGACAAGATGTCGCGTAGAGTAAAACTTTGAGGTGTGGGAGAAACTTCGACGAATATACGGTAAGAAATGCTTCAAAACTAGACTAGACTAGACAAACCTTAAGATAAGATTGAGTTCTTCACTTGTATGAATTCATTTGAGGCTTTCTAAAAAGAATTCGCCGTTAAATAAGCATTTGCTTCATGCTTCAGGGTCTCTGAAAAGAAGAAACAAGATGGCGCTGAAGTGAAGCTTCGAGGTGTTAACACAAACTTCGACAATTACACGGTAAGGGATAGGGATGGTAAGGGCTTCAAAACTAGACCAGACTAGAAAAAACGTAAGATAAGACTGACTTCTTCCCCTGTATAAAATCATTTTATGTTTCCTATAATTTTTCGGAGCTTAAATAAGCATTTAAATTCTGAATCTTGTTTGGTTGGTACACGTGTGACATACTTTCAAGGCTAAAAGTTTTGCTAACTTTTTTGTTCAGACACTCTATAGCTACTCCATAAATGCAAAATGAATTCAAAGTTAGTTAAGACATGATTTTCTTTTCTTTTTTTCCCCCCTCCAACAATTTGGATATTTGTAACCGTAGTTCCATCATTAAATTATTTCTTAAGGCTCATGTTTTTAATTTTTCTTCGATTTCCTAAAAAAGTTAAAGTATTCAGTTCAATTTCACAGAGTTGCGTTTATTTTAATAAGAACTACGGTCAGCAAGATATTTTTTTGGCAGAAGGGAGTGGTTGACAAATGCTACTTTGTAGGGGCCCTTTTATGTATGAGTCAATTCCAAAGGTCCCCATCCCCCCCCCCCCCCCTTTCCGCGGGCATACCCCAGGCATTTGACCATATTCAAGTTCCGTAGACTGGGGAATTTGATGCTGAATATATGTCCAAACGGGTGGGCATTTGACTTTTGACTAAATATAGCGGCCCTTATCTAATTTGCATAAATTAGCGTACTGCAAAATTTTACGCTTGTGGATCCTGCTTATAGGGCTCTGGTTCGCCTGTGAATTTAAAAAAAAAATCCAAATACCTTTGTTTAAAATCTGGGATGGCACAAGGGAAGTGAGAAAAGCTTTTTTGGCAGATTCCTTTGCGCACTCTTTTCAAAAGATTGAGGTTGAACTTCGTATTCATTACAATCTCATTGAAATCGAATTGCCACGGTACAAAAATTTGGTTTCAAAATGAAATCTTATACTTGTCGCTTCTTTGAGAAACAGGGAAAGAAAAGCTTGGAATTAAAAAGACAAAAGGAGCAAAACCTTTCAATGTGGATGACAGTACAGAATGAGTAGATGAAGAGTGGAGTCCAAAACAATAAAATTTATTGTTTTGGACTCCACTCTTCATATATGTTTACGCTAATTCCAAAGTCGGCAAAGATTTCAGGTTTTGATTCTTATGAAATTAAAGCTATAATTGATAAAGCGATCTCAAAAGGTACTTAGCATGAAACTTGTTGGATGTATACAGGCTCAGTTTTGTACTTTTTAGGTAAAATTAGAGATTCATTGGACTGGAGGGGCAGGCATTTGACCACTTAGTGGAGCCTGAACGTTTAGGAATTTGATCATTTTGTTGGCCCGCATGGTGGGGAATTTGACCAATTTTGTTTCCAAAAAGTCAAATTCCTGGGGGGGGGATGGAAACCTTTGGAATATTGACTCATACATTAGGACTTTAGGCGCCCTCTTAGGACAGTTCCTTTTTCATCAGGGAGGTGGGGAGTGGAATTGCCAAGTTAACCACACAAGAAATCTGACTCCATGATCCATTGTTACTTTTAAAAAATGGTCCCTGGTACTACTTGAATTGTTTTAAGTGTTTCACCTCTTAGTATTTATTCACATGTTTATTCTCATGAGAACAAAAACTGCATAAATTTATTTTCAAGCACTTGAATAGGACTCCGTGTGGAATCTATTGTACTAGTCAAAATGGCTGCCGAGTGAGCCAGTTAAAAAACCCACTGCCCCCTGCTCCCAGGTAAAAAAGAAGGGTCCCTTAAGCTTTGTCCAACTTGGAGGACCATCATACTGACACTTTTATTGTTTTTTTAGTTGGATCATCAAGGATAGGAAGACTAGCTGAATCTATAAGTGTTAGTTTTAGATGTTATTTAGTAAAATTACACCAGCGAAAACAATTTCCTTTGAATTGATTTAGCACCTGTGTAATTTTACTAAATGCTTATTCACCACAGATTGGGTGGACTCTGGTTGATATTTGCCTCAAATATTGGCTGATCTTCACTTTGTCTTGGTGAATAATCCTTAATTATTAAATTTATCTACATATAATGCTTTGTTGTATGTAGATTTGTTTTCACCACTTTAAGAATTAGACCTTATAATATCAATGGTTGTGCAAGCTTTTTGTTACAAATGAAAAGTGACCACAACTTTTGAATTTTCTTACAATTTGCTAAATGCTGGTAACTTATGCACATATACTGTCTCCTTTGGACCTGATGACTGGCTGGCTGGGATCAACTCTACATATTATGATATATATTTGATATATTCTTTTATTGCATTTGACTAATATTTATTGAGTTTGATTTTTTGTCTCACATTGAATGATTTATTTTACATTTGATTGATTATTGATGTACATGAAAAAGTTTCTTTCAAAATATTGTGTATTATATTTAAACTACTTCTAATTTTTTCCTCAAGGCAAGTGTTATTATGATACATTGTAAAATATATTTTGCATTTAGTTTGGAGGTTTTCCATTACTCTAAGACTTTTGCTTTATTTTTTCCATGCCTGATTTGGCTTTCACATCAAATTTGGCAAATTGCCAGGATTGCAATATTTAGAAAAAAGCTTTTTCCTAAGTAATTATTTCATTGTTTGACATGTTTTCGGTCTGTACAGTATGCTCTCACTGTACTAAAACATTCTGTGATTCCAAATGTCTTTTTTAAAGAATTAAAGTGAAAAAAATAAGACAATCTTTTTTGGGCTTTCAATTTGGTTTATTAATTTTCTTAGTTGTTCTGCTACTATAGTTAGTGAGAGGATACTGTACACATCATGATGATTGTTATTTTCATTGATGTATTACAAGATACAGTAGAACTCACTATCTTGTCCTTGTCATCCTTATATACTGATTGAGAGAACAGCGTAACAGCAAAATTGGGCAATGAAATAAATTGTATGGTATCTTTGCATACTCTGATTCGCTGCAGTGGTAAACAAAATCATGATTAATCAACTGCAATTGTCATTTTAATGCTATCATTGGCTTTCAATTTCTCCTTTGAGCATATTTTATGAGATAGTGTGGTTCTACTTTCTTTGATTACCATATATTATGATGCTTTAATAAAGATTTGTCTGCTACATTCTACACTCCTGGTTCACTCTCTTCAACACGGTAAGTCAAGTGCATAATTTACCAGCATTAAGTCTTGTATTTTTCCACCAATGCCCTCTTTTATCATCCAGTTGTTTTTCTGAATATCTTACATTGCTAATCAAAAATATGGTAGACCATGTATTTTGGTGTTACATTCATTTTAAGTCAACCAGAGGATGTTGGTTGGAAGGTGCAATTTTCTAAATTACTTTTCTCAGACAAGTTCTTAGTTACCTTACAAACACTAAAACTTGCAGTGCAACAGATGAGTCATTTGAATTAATTCACTCAAATAAGTTCAACAAAGTATCATGATCAAGATATTTATGTTCTACCAAAGAAAATTTCATATTTGTAAACAGTTAGTACAAATTGAACTTATTTTGTACTACTGTAGTCAACTTATTAGCCCATTACCTGTTGCAAGTGGTTGTAGTGTTTGTACTCTTCAGTGGAATGGTTCCATTTATTCTTAAAGTGGTGAAATAATATTAACTTAGGACTATGAGTGGACACACCAATGACCAGATAGAAGTACTATCTAAATATTTTCATTTTTGGCCACGTTTTACATTGTTCGGCTAGAACCTAAAGACATAAAAAGTTGAATGCCTTTTTTAAAGGGTTCTTCAAGAATTGTGAAAAATTCCTTTCTCCCAGAGCTCCAATTGTAAGGATTGTTATGGTATTTCTTTGCACAATGTCTTCAATCTTGATGTTTCCTTCAAAATTAAGTATTTATTTTCAGTTCCATTTACTTAATCACCAATGTGGAAAGTCTCAAAACTATAAGTGATTTGATTTTCTCCATAAAATTTACATAGTACTGATAAACCTGATCAGAACAAATACAAACGAACAAGAAGTAATTTGGCATCAGTACTTCATGGGGCTTGGTGTGTTCATCTCATAGTCTGACTAAGGTGTTGCTTGAGTTAAAAGTACAACAAGAGATAACAAATGGTATACTAAAACTAAGTTGATTTCTGCCTGACTCTGAAAAGAGATTTATTTGTAAAAATGATTTCAAATTGAAAATGTTATTTTACAAGTCAAACTGTATGTTGCCATGTTTCAGGCACTGGGATGATTAACTGAAATAATTGAAAAAATTGCTTAGCTGTCTTTGGAATTAATTCACATTAAGGTGGCTCAATAGCATTTTCTTGACACTACCTTTGGACTTTAACAAATTGCAAATACCCAGTTGGAAACAATTTATTGAAAGAAATTCAAATTGTGCATGCTCGGTTGCAAACAATTTATTGAAAGGGAACCTTTTCAAACCAGATTTAAGTTTTATCATAGTAAAAAGGATTGGTCAGCAAAAAATACCATTTGTAACTCTTGCTGTAATGCAGAATAGACTGTAGAATTGAGTAAACCATGGTACAGTCCTGGGGTGCCAGGATCAGCTGACTTTGATGTCATCCTAAAAGCATAATATAACACACTATGCTATAGCTTGCCATACACCATGGTTGGCTGCAATCCTGAAAAGTCTATTATTACAAGTACTGGTAAGGCTCAGTGTGGACATGGAACTTTTCATTGATCAAATATTAAGTGTTGTGGTGAGGTATCTAAAATCGGTCATCGAAAATTGAGACTTGAGGAATTTCATAAAGCTCCATGCAATCAGTTTAAGGCAGCTTTTTTCAAATTGAAAAAAAGTTCCATGTCTTAGCTGGGCTGAATTATTGCTATATACTAGGCATAGAACTGGTGTTCCCCATCATTAAATTTTTCAAAAAAAATCTAAATTTCTCTAATGATCTCACTAAAAATGTCACTTCGTATTGGGAATATTTTTTGTTTTGGTACTACAATTGGATTTTGAATTCTTCTTAGCAAAGTACAACACCAGTTTTATGCCTTTTTTAGCATCCAATATCAGTCTTTTAATCAAGCAACACCTATGTCTTTAGGATCCTAATCAAAATCTCTGTCCCTGAGGTCATCAGTTCGTCCTATTCCAAACCCTTAAGGGTGGTCCTTAACACTTTGTTGAGGGCCATTTTTTCTTAAGGGGAGGGTAGGTTTGAACTTTTGATCTCAGGGACCTTCGTCTAATTACCCTAGGGGCAAAAAAAATCACAAAAAGACTTAGTATATATTTTTTCAAAATTTATGGGGATTTTTTACTTTTTTTCACAATTTTTAATTTTTTTTATTGCCAATTTGAATTTTTTTATTTTTTAAAGCCAATTTGTTTTGTTTGTTTTTTTGAGCCAATCCTTCTTACTTTCTCTATGGATACCAGACTTACCTTGTTCCTTGCTTGTGGGTGGCTGTCTTTTTGATTGTCCAATTTTTCATCTGAGAACCTAGATCTTACCTGGATTTGAACCCTTACCTTCATCTTGCCTCTTGTCCATTAGCCTGTGCACTTGCGTTGTATACTGTCAGTTTATTTGTTGAAAGTGATGGTATTGATGTACCTTATATCATAGGGCTTTGTAATGCCTTGAATTAATTACCAAATAAAATTCTTATAAATAATTAATGTCTTGTTTATTGTCTGAATGAAACAAAGGAGTAATTAGCAGAATAAAGAAAGGGGATTAGATGGGTGGGGTAGAGGTGCTAAGTTAGCCGAAGGGTAAAGGTGCTCAAGAGACAGAGGTGCTTAGGGGGATTAGATGGGTGGGGTAGAGGTACTAAGATAGCCAAAGGGTAAAGGTGACAAAGAGGTGCAAGTGGGTGTGGTGCAGTGAGCTAAGCGGAGCTAAGGTTGCACGCTAAGATAGGTAAGTTTTGTGGTGGGAAAAAGCTTTGTTCCAGATCAAGTGACAAGGAGCCTAAAAATTTTCTAAGTTTTTTGGCGGGAAAAAAACGAAAATTTGAAAAGGGGTGTACCATGAAATAAACAAACACCAAAATATTTTAAAACTCGTTTATTATACATCGTTAAAATATAAAATATCAAACTTCACGGGGAAAAATAAATGGCAAAAATTATTGATATTTTGTATAACCTGACGCTTACATAACCAATAATAACACGTAGATTGAATATCGGCCTCGTTTGTTCTTGTCAGCAGAATTGAAAAAGCCTCTTCAATTTTCGATCAGTTCCTATGATGGAGTGCATGATTTGGTAGCCTAATAAGAATAAATAGATTTAAAAAATTGAATAAATATATAGATAAAGAACGAAAGAAACTAGGTACAAGATAATGACTAGGTACAACTGATGAATATAATACAATATAGTAAAAGCCCGCGTATAAGAACCTATATTTTTCCATGTTAGCCTAAAAAGGTTGTTATATAAATGTTGTTAACTGCAGTTCTTATTTTCTTTTAAAAAAGTGATTTGTTTTTGGTAGGTGTGGTTTAATATATAAATAAGGCATAAAGCTCTCCAAATGACTGCAATCTAAGCAAAAACAAACCTATATGCAGTTTAAAGCTACACTTTATTTAATTTTTTTGAAGATCTTTTTTTTTATTTTATTTATATCTTTTTGCTCGTCCCTATTTGATCAAAGAAGGGCCTGCTTTGGAATTTAACCTAAAACAGATCTAGACTTATGCGCGGGTTTTTACAGTGTTTCTCAACAGTCAAATAAAGACATAATACCAAGGAAACCATAAGCTGTTTAATAATCGTTTTTCAACAATTGCGAGCAAAAAATGCTCAAAAATCAATGATCTTCATTTAGTTTTCTATTCCTGATAGTTAAACGAAGTATATATTTCACATTACCTTTCGTTTTAGACGTCTAGGATCTTTATTACGGCTGGTTTCATGACATTTTTGGAACACTTTGATGGCTTCTTGTCGCTCAGTTCAAAATGGCGGAACAGAACAAGTTTGATGGATGTCCACGAACCCCATGAGAATAAAAAATCTACAATTGAAAAAGAAAAGTTTACTCTTAAAAAGCGTGCTTTATACAAAAACACCTTTCGTCTTTAGAGGCTTTAGAATGGCCACTCCCTTGAGTATCATATCTTTGTCCCTATTGACAATGAATCAGTACCCCACGAATTCAAAATTAAATGGCGCGATTTATACCTGGTCAGAAAAATAAAATGTTTGTTTAAAAAATGTCTTAATCAAAAAGCAGTTTTAAAGTCAAATTTTACACACGACATTTCTTACTTTTAATTTTTAGGAAATTTCCATTTCATAAAATTGTGGTATCCCTATACCGGTACCATGAACTACTACCCAGCATTTTAAAAGTCGCGTTTTCGTAAATAAAAAAATAAAAAAATGCAATTATTTCTTATTTACATGTCATCTTAAGTAAACTTTCCATATAGGGCCATAACCAAGCACAGGGTGCACGTGCACCCCCCCCCCCCCCCCCCCCCCCCATAAAAGCTTAAGGTCCGCTCATCTATCTCCTTTTGCTTTAAAATTGCATGTAAATCATTTTCGATTAAATGAAGACCACTATCCATCTGCATATTGTAGCATTTTTAAGAATCAGTCACCCAAAATTCCCTTCTTTTTTTTTTGGTTCTGCTTTTTCTTTTGGTTACTTTTTTTCTTTGCTTAAATCTTGGAAGAAAGAAATTTTGACTCTTTGCATTAATTCAGAGAAAACAAGGCTCTTAAAGCTGCAACCCTAAAAACCGCGCACTTTCAAGTTCCGCTTGTATTTTCATTCAGAATAACACGATTGGTTAACTGCAACCTTAAACCAATGCAAACCACCGCAAACCACCGCAAACCACAGGCAGCCCAAACAGGATATTTTTCGCCCTTTTATTTTATAACTTCCCAAAGTTTTTCCAAACTTTTGTCAGCGTAATCACTTAGTGCATTATTAAAGGTGTTATACATGCAAGTTTCATTAAAAATGAAAATCAAAAACATACAAAAATATGCAAAAGTGTAAAAACAGTAGACCGCTGACTAGGTGACTGCAGACCAGAAAATTCCTTCACTCATAACACCATTACTTTTATATATTTAGAAAAGATAGTTTTAGAAACATAAAGCCCTCATCCTAAGCTTTTATTTAGTGTATATTTTGTTCAGAAAAAGCGATTTTTTAAATTGACGAAAATTTGGGACCTTCGAAAAAACGCGATTTTAGGGGTCTCAACTTCAAGAGCCTTGTTCTCTATGAAATAATGCAAAAAGTCCAAATTTCTTTGTGTCACGATTTAAAGCTAAGAAAGGAGTTTCTAAATCATCTAGCACTTTTTGAAAAACGTTTTTAGTTTTTCTTCTATAAAGCGTTTTTTGGCGATCTTTGGATTTTGGGCTCCCTGTGGTAAAATAAGACAGGTTCACAAGATCACAACTCACTGAATTTTCGTTGCAATGAATAAGTTTAGTGATTTTTTTTTTGCTTAAAATATGATTTCGATGTATCGAAGATACAAGAGCAAAACTTGGGAACGTTTTTCAAAAAATGATTACTAAATCAGGAATTTTTTTATTAAATACCATTCACACTGACTTTTCGTCAAATATTTCTATTAATATAACAAGTTTGAACTAGGAGTACCATGGGTGATGGATATGTGTTGGGCCTAACAACAAGCGCAACGATTCATATATATATCCTAGTATAACATATCTTTTTCAGCAAACACTGACAATCCAACAATCCATATCTTTGTTCTTCAAAAATTTATATTGAAATAACACGTTTGAATCGTACCATGATTGATATGTGCTGGGCCTAAGAACACGCGCAAAGATTCGAACCTATATACTTATAATTTTAAAAAATCTTTTTCAGCAAAAGTCCACATGCTATCGAAATAAAAGCTGAAGATTTAGTTTGAGTAAGGAATGTATATTCACACTGTCAATCCATATCTTTTTTTGTGGATGATTTCTAACATTATAACACGCTCTATTATTCCCATAATGGATATGTGCTGGCATAAGGACACGCGCAACGATTCATATACATATCGTTTAAAACATCTTCTTTAGTCCTTGCTATCGAAATAATAACCAAAGAATTGGCTTAAGTAACGAATGTTTATTCACACTGATAATCCGTATTTTTAATGCGCTTAATTACTGTGTTGACAAAAGTTTGGAAAAAACCAATGTTGAAAATTTTGAAAATTTTGAAAATGAAAGGGGTGAAAAAGTATTTCTTGGGTTGCCTGTGGTTTGCCTAGTTTAAGAACGCGCGTGTGATTGAAACGATAAGCGGAAGTTTGCGGGGTTATACCAAAAATTATATCTAAATCTTTATAGGTTGATAATAATTTAAATTCATTTAAAGAAACTTTGAATTTGAATTTAGAAGAAGAAAAAATTATACACAGGGACCCCAAAGTCATTTAATAACAGGTACCCGTACCCTGGGAATCACATGGATTTTAGACAGCTAGAGTTAATCTTTTGATGTGGCAACAACAATCCTCCAGACTCCCCCCTCCCTAGGATAAGTAGTAACCAGTTTCTTATGTTATGCATATAAAACAAGTACCAAAATACCAAAATACCAAAATACACCCAATAAACTTGATTGAAAAGTGACAAACCTGGAGTTGTTTTTGTAAACATAACGTACCGGGCATCTTTGAGTTGACTCCAGCCAGATTCTTGACTTATTTCGTGTTCCATCGTCGTTTCTTTGCTCAATCATATCACCAACATGGAGGACAAGACAATAAATCTTTCTCAAGATACAGTTCAGTGCTCAACGAATCTAAATTCATTTACCAATAGCTTTTTTTCTATTGGACTATTGAACAATGAAAAATGTATCTTGGGAAACGCCTATTATTTAAGACCCGAGATAAAAGGAATGCCTTTTGAGAATTGTTATTTCGTGCTCAATATATCCCTTTGTTCAAAATTTCTGTAAATGTTGGCCCGTGAAAAGAATAGTTAGCATACATAGTATACACTAATTCCATTGTTTTCTTTTGTTTTACTTTGACTGTTAGTCTCTAATCATCCAACTTTGTTTTGCGGGCCAAGTAAAATCACTCCGCGGTTTAGGGCACCCAGACCCTCAGTATTTTCATATAAAATCAACTTGAACACAAACACAATCAATCACACAATCAATACTAATAATCAATAAATCGTCTTTATTGAAGATACCAACATCACAATCAGTGGTTTACAGAGTGGTCCTGAAATATCGCAAAAAAAAAAAAAAAGATCGCAAAATGACATTATGCGGCATTTCCTCTAACCCCCCATCCAATATTGAAGCACGACAAGTACGATGCACGATATACGATTAATCTAACACACGCATTGAGCACTCTATATATATGGACAGTGCACACGATGTATCTAGAGCAAATCCTGCACGTACGAGCCGTACCGTGACCGTGTCGTGCCTGAGCAGTACTATCGCGCGCTGTCTTACAGAACTGCTTTTTTTTTTGCGCAATCTCTTACAAGTAAAAGCACGCCAATTTATAATATCAAAAACATTCTGAGTATTAATAGTAAATACATCACACACTACAAAACGATTCACAGAATGTTCAAGTTGCACACGTAGTCTAATTATATTTAATACGAGCGATGTGCGCTGTTCATCTATCAAATAAATGAACATGCTGTGAGTCTATAAAATACATAGAGTATTTAATACTTACTGTACACCGAGTATTAGTGTGCACAAGGCATACTCACTGCACCCTGCACATCTAGCAGATCAAAGACACTGTGCATCATATACTAACAATATACCCTGCGCATCTAACACACCTGGGGTGCACAGTGTATCTAATACATGTAGAGTGCACAGGGTATTTAATACTCACTGTACCTTGCGCATCTAACGTATCAAATACACTGTGCATCATTTACTAACAATTTACCCTGCGCATCTAACACGCCTGGTGTGCACAGTGTATCTAATACATGTAGAGTGCACGGGGTAATCGCTAATCACCTACAGAGCACTGCGCATGTAATGTAACACAGAATAGCCATCCTCTGACCACCATGGGCCTTGAACATGTAGCAGCCATGTTTATTCTTATAAGAATAAAAACCTTTGTTTCACCTGCATAAAATTATTCTCTAGCACTTGAATGTGAAGTTACACCTGATGGAATCTACTGTTCGAACCATCATGGCTGCCACATGAAAAAGGCCTATGAACACAGCAGAGTTAAATTTAAATAAAGCAAGAGACAACACTAATCCTTCACCTTGCTTGTATCAAAGCTTAAACATGGAATGTGTACTCCCTATCTTCCATGCATCTGTTCACTGGTCAAACACAAAGCATTCAATCTAGGTTGCAAGGTATATGTAGTCTCAAAGTGTTATTTCAATTTTAACTTTGCAGGCTCGATTGAATGCTTTTTGTTTGACCGTTAAAGCGGTTTATATGGAAAGTGATGAATATTGTGAATATATCGCCAACGGGAAGGATGTGGATTTTCAGTGGCTAACAATACATTCAGTTAAAATTAGGGGGTAGCTATCAAAGAAGGGGGGTGATTTTCTATTGAAATTGAATACATCCTGAAATATCGATGAGGGATGGGGGGAGCGGGGGCACGAATAAATATTAGTTTGTAAAGGGTCTACCAAAAATGTTTCTTGAAACCTCAAAATTCACAATCCCTCCCCCCTCCTCTCCCCCCC